TGAAGGTGAGCTGCCTCGCTCCATCGGGCTGGGCGCCCACGACACCAGCCGCTTGGGCTCGCTGGCGGAGGAGGGCGTTCTCCTCCTCTTTGGCCTCTGCGAGGTTGACCGCCGCCTCGTCGCGCCAGCCTCGGCGCAGAGCGAGGTGGTCCTCCGCCGCCACGAGCGCGTCCGCCGCCTCGTCGAGCTGGCGCTGGAGGTGGATCCGCTTCGCCGTGGCCGACTGCAGCCTCTGCTCGAGCGGCTTCGGAGCTGGGGCGACCGCGGGCGCGACGCAGCCCCGCGCGTCACGGACTGCCTCCTGCAGCCTGGCCGCGATGGCGGGGTCCCCGCAGGCGAGGAGCGCTTCGAGCTCGCTCTCGGGGGGGGCCGACCAGGGGGCCTTCGGGAAGGCGCCTCCGCCACGGCCACCCGCGCCCCCGCCGCCGCCACGGGAGGCTGCACCACCACCGCCGCCGCGGGAGGCTCCTCCACGGCCCTTGCCGCCCTTGCCGCCCTTGGCGCCATTCTTCGGTGGGCCTCCGCTGCCGCCTCCTCGCAGTGCGGGTTGGGAGCCGCCGCCGCCGTCGTCCGCCCAGACCCCGACGCGGGGCGAAGGCTTCGAGGGCGCCAGCTCCAGCCCGATCCCGCACAGCCAGCACTTCGCATTCCTGCGGAAGTTCCAGCGGAAACGGCAGCCCGTGCGCGCGACGAAGCCAGGCTCGGCCTTCGGCCCCATCGCCGGAACGGGCGGGCGCGCTGCTCAGCCGCGGGCGTGCAGCAGGCAGGTGCCGACGGGGGCGGACCCGCCGACACAGGTCCAAGGTGCTGCAGTGGCAGCTCACACTTGTTGGAAAGGAAGGTAGCCTCAAAACAGAACCTCCCTCGCGCTTAGTCGCCCCGAAAGACTCGCGGTCGTCGGGGCGGTTCATTGCCTTGAGCCAAAATGGCTACGGACGGTGCGGGCATTGGATCAGGAATCATTGGATAAGGAATCCAAGGTCTGGGAGATGATGGGCCCCCAATCGTGGAATGTGGCCGTGGGTATCATCGCCGCCCTCATCAGATGAGGAATCCTAGGGTCTGAAGCCCTCTGGGCACATTCTTCAACCAACGCCCCCACCGTAGTCCCAGCTGGCCTCAGCAAGCCCCCCGAATGGTCTGGCGCGGTCTCAACACCCCGTCGCCGCCTCCGGCGGCGCCCCTGGGGCGCAAAGCGCCCCAATCTTGGGGTGTTGAGGCCGGCCCGGACTACTCGGGGGGCCTGTTGATGCAAGCCAGAACTACCTGGGAGGGGGTCTTTGCGAAACCCAGGGTCTTACCAACGTGTGGCTTAGTGTTATTCGTCTTCGGCGGCGCGCCCAAGGCCTGGATGACCTCGGGCCTCTTTTTTTTTCAGCAGAAGGTCGCCCCACCCCGCGCAGCCGTACTCTTGCGAGCCGCCGAGCGCTCAGGGTCACTCGACGAGGTGCAGAAAGCGCCTGGGTCTGCTCCGAGCGGGCCCTTGCCCCTCCTCGGCGAGGGCTCTGGCATGCTCGTAGAGCTCGAAATCGAGCGCGTTCAGCCTGCGAAGCACTTCTTCTCGCCCTCTAGTCAGGTTGAGCTTCGCGAACGGGGCCGCGTTGACCTTTAGGGATGCGCTAACATTGGTCCACCTCAGCCTGTCAAACAACTGGCAGTTGTCATCGATGACATCATCTTCGTCGGCTGCACCTACGGCGTAGAACTTGTTCAACCGCTCGACTGCCATTTCGAGGTGGGTGCGATTTACACCTCCAGGTGGTAACGTCCACGCCTCCGCCACAAGCACGCGAATCTTAAAGTTGTCGAGAGCCTTCCACGAGCTCCACCCGTAGTTATTGAGTAGGCGTCCTTGCTTCCGATGCTGGATCATAGATAACAGGAGGTCAAGCCAATCGTCGCCTTTAGAATCTGGGTCCAAGCCAAGCGCCCTCTTCAGGCTTGAAAGGCTCCACCACGCATCATTAAAATCATCGCGTGCAATCTCGTAATTCAAGTTTGAATCCATTTCTTGGAGCGGGTGCCGCATCAAAACGGCATAATGGAAATGAGTCCATCGGTAGTCTTCAGCCCACAAAGGCCGTTCGATCATTCCAAAAGTGAACCCACCCGATGTCATATGCTTCACGCGAAACTCAGCGATTGTGTTGGCTACCGTGTGGCCTTCAATCGAACGAGAGTGTGTATCATGTGGTATCCAATTGCAGTTGTCGGCGGGTGCAACCACCGACTCACCATTCGAAAAAGCAGCCTGCTGGCATGCCCAACTTCCGAACCCCTTGTGAATGTGAACGAGGATGACGGGCAAGCTACGCGGGCGATCGTCGAGCTTCAAGGCAGCAGCCTGAACAAGATGCAAGAGGCAAATCGCAGCTATGAGTATAGCCTGTTTATTTAGAAGAAGAAGGGACTTTAGGAGGTCAGCACAAACTTCTTGGATCGGTGCTGAAACCCCTCCCGCTGGCGCACGCTATGGGCGGCGCTGGAGGCGCCGACGAACGAACCCAACGCCGATCCAAAAAACTCGCTCGGACATCCGGCAACGTAGGTTTATTCGATGTATTATTGGCTAGATTCCTTGAGTGATCCGGTACTACGCAAACAAAAGATGTGCACACGCCGACCGACACGACAACGCCTGAAGCAGAAACAGCTTGAGCCAAAATGGCTACGGATTGGATGACCTCGGGCCTTTTGAGAAGCTCTCTGGGCCTTCTTCGAAGCCACTGGGGGCTTCTCACAGGGCTGGGGGGCTTCTGAGAAGCTCCGCCGCCTTCTGAGAAGGCCTGCCCCCTCTCACTTCCCCCCTTGGCGCGCCGCCAAGTTTTGGATACAGCGCGGAAAGATCGTGCGGGTGCTAGGGAGTGGACGCCCAAGCTGATACATGTTGAGCGAAAGTGGACAGCGATAATGGTCAAGGATGGGCAGAATATGCACGGATGAAAGGGCGCCCCTTGGAGAGCTGCTGGTCCTTCGGACCCTGTCTGACTGCACGGCCAGTTCGTGCCGTGACGACCTGCGCGCTGGCTTCTGGCACTGGGCATACTTCCGCTGTGGGCGACCAGGGCTTGACAATAGCCCGTATGTGTCACTCGATATCGGACGATTCTGTGCCTCTGGCGGCGCTCGGCTTGGAACGCCCCCACTCGGGGCCGCCGCCGCGTCGACACGACGCAAGCCTGCCGCACTCTTGCGCTCGGCATCCGACAGGAGCAGCACGACGGCCGGCCCCGGGCACTGCCCGTGGAAGGGCACCCGAGCAGTTTTTGACACATCACGGCCTGCTGTGAAACCGAGAAGTGGTCGACAAAACCCTGTGCCACAGGGCTGAACCTAAACGGTGTTTTTCTTTTTCGTTTTGTTTTCGTTTTCCCTCGTTTTTGTCTCGAATCCGCCTTTCAAAACAAAATCGAAACGAAAGCCGCCCACGAAATCACCAACAAAAACGCCGTTTAGGTCCAGCCCTGCTGTGCCAAGACTGCCACGGCTATGCCACCAGATGCCGATCAACAAGAGAAGTCGGGAGGGTGCGTTTTGACTTGTGTCCCGTCGACCCGTGGAGATCTTGCGAGAGAGCAGCAAGCGGGGTCACATGACTCGGGTGTGCAGCGAAGAACAACAAAACACTTACATAATATCTCGCAACTGTCAATGGTGATGATGATGATGATGATTATGATGATGATGATGATGATGATGATGATGATGATGATGATGATGATGATGATGTTGCGATTCACGACCGTGGACGAACCACTCGAATCATACGTCACGTGGACAAGTGCACTACTTTTTGGGGGAGGGCGGGGATAAGTGTGGAAGCATTCGTGTGAAGACCAGCCAAAATTGATGCAACATTTTTGTCGACGTGCGTTGTCGTGCCGTACACGCGGCGGAAACGCGTCGGAACACTCGGATGCAGGCCTGTGCCTCGCGATATCGCGATGGCAATGCGTCGTGCGTCATGACATGAGCGATAAGCGTTGTCTTCTCAGAGGTCAGTGGGGCCGAATGTCACTCACGAGCTGTGCGCTGCCTACTGTAATCGGTGAGACTTGATCATACGGTGCTCAGGTATCTGACTCCCGCTCGAAGTGCCACTCTGCAACGTCGTCAAGACTGTTCCCGTTCAAAACCTCCTCACATATGTCATCAATACCGTGGCTCCGAAGTCTCCGCACAACTTGCAAAACAATTAGAGTCCCGCTCGGGAGATACCCGCACTCAAAAGAATGGCGCCAAGTCAAGGTTCCTCCACACGGAACTCATGGATACTGCTCTCCCTCAATGCTTTCGTGCAAATCCTTCGAGATCCGACTCCCACTCGATACGTCCCTACAATGTACTCAGTGCAACGTCTCCCACTACAGATGTGTCCACGATGTCAGCCACCATGGCCTCTTCGGCACGCCAGGGCTTGTTGCAATGTACGGTTCTGTAGCTTCCCAGGTCACTTTCGCGCGTCGCACTTCCTCCACCATCATTTCCTAGACTGTTTCCCTCGACTGTTTCCCAACGCGCGAATACCAAGAAGCTGGAAACACGAACACACATTGTAAATTCACACGCGGGGGGTGCGAACACCACTGCGCACACGAAGCACTGGTGTGCCCGTCCGCACAAGGACCCGATCGCTGGAGAAACACGCGACCACGCGCGCATGCAAGTCTCGCCCAGACCGGCCACATCAAGTGCCCCGCCTTCCTGAAACCCACCCGTGCGCTCCAACCGCTCCCGCCCCTCCCCAGCACCTCCTTCGAGGGAGAACGTGAGGCGGGGGACCGGCTGGGGGGGGAGACGTCGACGTGGCATCGGCGATCAGTGGCCGATGCATCGGCGATAGGTCCCCGACAGCAGATCCACACGCTACTGGGCGGGGTGGGGCTCTCAGGCCCCTTATCGGCGACTCGTGGGCGGTTGAGGGTCGATGCGTCCCCACCCGAGCCCATCCCCCCCTGACGCTGCCCCTGGCCTTTGGGCTCCCGCGGGCGGGGGGTCTCTTGGCGGTCAGCCCGGCGGCCGCCCTGCTCATAAAGCTCCCCCTCGCGGTCCCCAGCTTCGCGGAGAGGCGCTGGGAGAACTGGCTCACGGTGGCCTCTCTGGGAGGGGCCGGCGGGCAGTCGCCCGGGCGGCCGCCCCGCCGGGGGGTGCAGCGGAGGCGGGCTTCGACGCGGTGGGCGTCGGCACCCCGCTGCGACCTCCGCAGGACAGGGGCCGCTCTGGGCAGCACGGGCGCGGCAGCGGGGAGGAGGGCTACGGAGAGAACGGTCGAGACGGATGCGTAGCGGGGAGTTTTAAACAAAAGAACACACAACTGCACGACAGCCAAGAGGATGCAGATCAGGCGTGGCGCGCAGTGGCCGCTCCAGCCAGGCTCAGCCCCTCTGAGGAGGCAGCGGCAATGGCGTTCCTGTTCCTTCGTTATGGCAGCTGCAAGGGCTGCCAGGGGCTCCCAGGAGCTCCCCCAGAACCCTGGCGCGCGCCCTGCCAGAGCTACGCGGGCGAGACTGGGCCCTCGTCTAGAGTTAGGTCTTTCACCGCCTTTCGTGGGGCGCGCCCCTTGGCGACGGCGCGGCGCCCCTTAAAATCTTCGACTCGGAGATCCCACTGTGTGTTGCTCTTCCTGGCGCGTATCGCTATGAGTGTCTGGCCGTAAGCGGCGGTACTCGGTAGCACCAGCTCATTGAATATCCCACGCGCCATAAGGAGCCTGTTTGTTGCAGAGAAGCGCTGTGCTCTCACCTCTCGGTTAGTGCCTTTCCCTGCTTTGTCCCGCTGCCCCCTTCCCCTCCCCTCCCCTTCCTTTTCCACCTCCTCCTGACAATCCTTCTGTTTCTCCTCGTCCTCCTCTTCCTCCTCCTCTTCCTTCTCTTCTTCCTCCTCCTCCTCTTCCTTCCTTCTCCTCCTCCTCCTCCTCCTCCTCCTCCTCTTCTTCCTCCCGCCTGCCGTACACAAGAAGTTCTCGTCCAATGCACCAAGACACGTGGAGATGCTAATCCAGGCCACTGTGCTGACACGCTGACACGCTGAGACCCTCCTCCGATCTCCTTCTGCTCCTCCTCCGCCTCCTCGCTTCTCGCTCCTCGTCCTCCTCCTCGGACTTCCTTTCCCCTCCCACATCCTCCCTTTCCTCGTCCTCCATCTCTTCCTCCTTTCTCTCCCTCCCTCCCTCCCTCCCTCATTCCGTACCCTCTTCCTCCCTTCTCCCCCTCCTCATCCTTCTGCCACTTCCTCCTCCTCCTCGTCTTCTCCTTCTGCCTCCGCCTACCTCCTCCTTGCTCCCTCATCCTCTTTCTCCTCCTTGCTCCCTTCTCCTTGCGTCTCCTCCTCCTCCTTCCTACTCCTCCTTGTCCTCGTGGTCGTGGTCGTCGTCGTCGTCATCGTCCTTCGTCGTTGTCGTCCTCCTTCGCCTTATCATCACGTTCCTGCTTACCCTTCCTCGTCCCAACCTTCCATCCCCTACTCCTCATCCTTCTCCTCGTCATCGTCAACTTCGTCCTCTCCTTCCCCTGCTTGCCCTCCTGCTACCTACTCGATTTCCGCGTCCTCCGCATCCTCTGCGTCCTCTGCATCTTCCCTCCTCCCTCTCCCTCCTCCTTCTTCTCCTTCTTCCTCCCCTTACTTCCTCCTCTCCTGCTCCGCCTTCCTTTCCTTCCCCTCCCTCCCTCCCCCCTCCCTCGTCCCGCCTCCCTCCTCCCTCCGTCATTCCTCCCTCCTTCCACCCCTTCCTCGACTCTCCTCCCTCCTCCCTCTCGTTCACCTCCCTCCCTGCTTCCCTTCTCCCTGCTGCTGCTGCTCCTCCTCCTCCTTCTTCTCCTCCTCCTCCTCCTCCTCCACACCCTTGCCACATGTATACACAACTACATGCATGTTCGTATTATATAGATGTAGGTATGCATGCATGCATGTATGCACGTATGTGCGCACGTATGTATGCACGTCTGTGTGCATGTTGATCTATATGTATGTATGCACGCATGTATGTATGCATGCATGCATGTATGCATGTATGTATGTAAGGGTTTAGTCATCCATCTATGATATATACATGTGTATATATGATGGCATGTGTATATGTACGTGCGTATGTATGTATAGGTATATGTGTCAGTGTGCGCATGTTTATGGTTATGTTGATGTTTATGTATGTATGTATGCATGTATGTATGTATGTATGCATGCATGTAAGTATGTATGTATGCATGCATGCATGTAGGTGTATACGTATACACGCTATACACGCATTTGGCTCCTCTCCGTCCCGCCCCCGGACGCATCGCCTGATACTTCCCCACTACTTATGCTCCTGAAGCTTGATATCGGCAGCAAGTGCAAGGATGGAGCACACCTGGTTCTCGACATGGAACTCTTGCCGTAACATCGCGAACATTCGTCCTAGAAATCTGCAGGTGCAAGGATGGAAGGCGGGCGGTCTTCAAAATGGAGCGTTCGCCTTCGCGCCGCGCACATCCGTTTTAAACGTTTGCACCAGCTCCAAGGATGGAGGGCGATTCCTTTTCAAAATCGGGCTCCCGCCCCAGCGTCGCGCACACTCGTCTTAAACACCTCTTAGCGCCACAC